GCCACCACGCCACGTCATGAGCGGCCAGGCCCAACATGATTCCATCCAGTTCACCGACCCGAAATTTTTGTCTGTCACCCGGAGAGCAAAGCAGAGCCCAGCGGTGGAGATGGATCAAGGCCAACCGTGTGAGAAATGCTTCGGAAATGCCACGCCTCAAGTGTACATAGTAGTTGTTGGTCGTTACTATTTCAATCCACCCACACGAGGGCGGGCGGAACGGCCGCAGTTGCGCAAGACAATTCTATTTTCCCGTCAATAAAACGAAAATTTTATAGCCAGACCGAGTGGAAATTTTGTTTCCATTCTCATTTAACCGGACGAGAGCGAAGGAAGAGAGAGAGCGGGGAGCGAGAGAGTGCGAGAGAGACCTTTGCGCCCGAAACCTTGACTCGCTAGGCCTTTGGGAGGAGCCCTCTGCTTGACCCCCTCCTCATCGAACATCTTATCGAGTGGTAGCCAGGCTCAGGCTGGCCGGCTGCCCCGGCTGCCTGCCTGGCTGCCCGCCATGTATTCGGCGGATGTCTCCAACGCCACGTGCGGTGGAGTGGACGCGCCTCCTCCGTCACTTTTTCGCAGGCGCGTTTGAGGCGGCATTAGATCGGGTGACTTGTGAGGAGGATGCCCCCGACTGGTTTGCGAAACCCATCGCAGTTCCTGGACCACATCAGTCACTGTGCATCGCAAACGAAGAGTATTTAGAGGACAATCATCACCAAAGACGCGCGCGTGTCACTGTACGAACGACCTGGTGTGTAAGGTCAGGCGGTATTTGGGCATCGATTTACCCCAAGCGAGTGTAATAGGGTGTGCCCGGTAAACGCAAGAAGTGTCAAAAGAAGAGGGGAGGCGAGCAAACCGAACACGAGAGGGACGGAGATCCTCTTCTTTGCATTTCTCGTCTCTTTTTGTTCCCTTTTCCCTTCCCGCAGTTCCCCGCCTCCTCGGTCCGAGTGTCTGTCAGCTGGCTGCCCCGCTCCATCAGACCGCCTGCCGGCCGCTTCGGCCCGTCGTTTTATTTTACTTTTATTGCTAAATGATAAAGCTCCGTGACGCCTTGGGGGAGTTTGTCGACCAGGGGAAGAGAGGCTCTTGATGAGCGTCCAATAATCCAAAGAGCCCTGTCTTTGACTTTAAGTTTATACATTTTTAAAACGGCATAAACGTCCACCTTTTGCTGGGGTGAATGACGTTGTCTCTTGATGTAAATGTTCAATGACAGTTACACGATGCAAATACTCCATTCAGCAGCAGCAGAAAATCAAGATACAATTTGACAGAATTCCTGTCAAGTCGTTCTCGTAAACTGTTGAACAAAAGTTCGTCTCTTGCTCGAACACTTGTCTGTTGTGAGAGTGTGTGGCCATGGACGCTGGGTGGCGCGCAGGCACGCGGGGCACGCGCACCTAATAAATGATCCTTCCGCCACAGAAAGTTGATGGCCAAGCAGGCCAGCAGCGTGTGGGCCTCCTGGGGCCCGGCCAGAAATACATTTCGATATATCGAAAGCTAAAACGATAAGTCGCGTCCACTTGGACTTGTCTGTGGAAAAGGGTAAACGGCTGATGCCTGTATGGGCTTGGGGCAGATGGTTATGTCAAAAATTATTGAAGTCGAAATACAATAATTTTAAGGTTTGATACACATATTCCGAATTTTTGGCGCTCGGGCTGCTGTTGACTGACTGCAAAGGTGGTCTAGCTCCAGCCTAGACACTCCTGTTGTGGCCGGACAGCGGCCCCGGGCCGACCAGCCGGAGACCGAAACCGAATATGTAAAACGAACCCGACCCAGCTCAGCACAGCCTTAGCTCCAGCGATCCGAGATGAAATAATTGGACTTTCATAGGAACGGTGGCAGTGGCGAGTATTTTAATTTGCGTCCTCTATTACGAAATTAAGATATATCTCGAGTTGAATTTTTTGCAATGATTGGCCTGGAATTTGGACCTAAGAAGACTGGCGTCGCACACCAAAATTAAGCTAATCACCGTCTGGTTTCGCGTGGGGGCGCCAGGGCGCCTGTGTTATTTTCACGGTGTACTCCCGTGGGCGCCCCTGCGCCCCACCCATCTCTTGCCGCTCTTGCCCCAATAATATGAACCTGTAGTAGCTGCTAGAGCTTGTTTCTAAGCCTGGGGCTACAAAATATAAAATTTTAATAAAGCGACAAAAATAGACGCGGGCCTTTGACGCAAACATTACCTTTATTTTCCTCCTTTGAAACACCAGTTTAGTACGTGAAAAGCTCCCGTCGAAAATTCGTGGAAAAAGTCATGCATACAAACGTAAGTACGTACATTTGTTTTTTCTCTCACCACCCTGTCTGTGTCCGTCCGTCCGTCCGTCCGTCTCTCCCTCTCGCCGTGAACGTCACTACTCTCTCCCTCTCTCGCCCGGGCTGGGGGCGCTGCCCTGCCGTGCCCTTATCTCCATTACGTCGCCATGTCACGTGTTGCCAATTTACCCATCCACTCCATTCCGTCCACACCGGCCGGCGCGAGAGCCATTGCCCATCCAATGGCTCCACGGCGAGCCTCCACGGCGAGCCTCACGGCGGTGCCTGGCCAGGCTGGGCTGGCTGGCCTCACGTCCGCGTCGCACCGTCCTCGCTCTGGCCTCTGGCCTCACACGCTGCTAAAGCTATCTCTGCTGCAGAACCGGCACTCGAGCGCTTATTGGAGGCATCGTAATGGGCTTGCAGCGACAGCGCCGGGCCAAAGCCGCTGTGGCCGCACAAGGACGGCATCGGCTCACAGAGCCTGGCCTCATGTGGCCGTGAGGCCTCGCACACTTGCTCGCGGCCTGACGCCGTCGTGCCTCGCGCCCGGAGGCTCAGCACAGGCTCGGCGTGATCAACAAGTGAATGCCCGCGACCAGGACGGCAGTCCAGTCCAGTCCGCCGGCCCCACCTCACTTACCTGACGCCGGCCGGCGCCAGCCCAACTCGGCAAGAGCCGGGCGGCGGGGCGGGCAGAGCTGCGCGCAGTGATTGGCTGTCGGCGAGGAGCAGCAGGGGGAGGAGGAGGAGGGCTGGAGGGGGAGGCGAGGATGGAAATCCTTCACTCGTTGTCGATGAGGTCAACAGACTCGTCTGCTTCCCCTCCTTCGCAGTAGGAGCACGTGGGGCTGTCCTGACTCTCTGTCCTGCGCCGCTGTGTGCTAGCCCCTGCCCACCGAGGCCCATACAGATTTGGCCGATTCGGCCTTACGTCCAATCGGACGTGGGGACATGGCTTTGGTCTTACAATCATCTGGGCCGAGGTAGACTGTGCTGGCCTCCGACGCACCCAACTCTTTCATGTCTGCCGATGGACGACATTTCGGCCCGAATGGAATCAACACATTTGCAATCCCCCCGAGCGAGCGCGACGCCCGGGTTTTTCTTATCATGTGCGGCGGCCACTTTTCGGCACGCCCGCGTGCAATCTGATTGATTCCAAGCCCCAAGAGGGAGCCCAGCGACCCTGGCGCTCTCCTGGGGACGTGGCGGACGGGCCGAGGGGTGGGCCGAGGGGTGGGCCCGGACACTAACAGGACAGACAGGCAGGGGCCTAAGCGGCACATGAGCCCCTCGGCTGAGCCCGCTGAGCTACCGCGGCTGAGCGTAACAGGGCCTGCCGGCCGGCGGCGGTGCTGCCTCTGGTGCTGCCGGCCACCGGCCAGCCTGCCTTGGCGGAGCTGCCCCGCCCCGCCGCGAGTACACACGCAGCCAATCCAGACCCTCATTCACTTTAAAGTGACAAGGCAGGGCAGTGCGGGGCAGCGGCGGCGGCGGCGGGACAAGGCGCAGAGCAGGGAGTAGCGGGGCTAGAGACGTCCGCGTCGGCCTCTCTCTCTCTGTCTGTCTCTGTCTCTCTGTCTCTCGCTCTCTCTCTCTTATTCCCCTGTCAGCCCTTCGGCAACGACTTTACCAGATGAGCTCCTGGTGTAACGGTATTCAATGTTATTTTTCCCGTGCGCGGCGGCGCGTGGCGCCAGGCGCCCCCTTGGCGTGTCGCTAGCCCGCACACCAAACACGTAGGAGGACCAATCAAGATCCGCGCGCGCGTGTCGCGGATCGTGGTGTGGGGCGCGGCGGGGCGCGGCCGGTCGGCCGGCGTGGAACACTTCCTTGACAAGTTCGGTATCGGACGTGGAAGGTGGGAGCAGGCTCTCTAAACTACTGCGCGCCGCACCCCGCCCCATAAGCACCTCTCAAACAGACGCGCGTACACTCCAAACTCCAAACAACGAGCTGCGCAGTCCAAAGACCGGTATACAACGGTTTTCACCCAATTTTTGGGGAGCAAAATTTGTCCTGAAGTAACTGTTATGATGCCCAGCAGGAACATCGCGGAGCTTGCCGTGGGAGATGTGCATGAGCAGCGGCAAGACTTCCCGGCGTTCGCTAGTAAACGCCACACTGGAAGGTGACACAGAGTGCTCTGAGCTCTTCGAGGCACCCCGGTGTTACAACAAAGTTCAGCCAAGCCGGAACAAGCCCAACTTATTAAGCCCGACGGCTGCTGACTTTTGGGTGGAGATAGAGCCTTGTCGCCATCGTCAACTTCACTTCTCCCTCCACTCAAAATTCACCGCCTTGAGCGTGGTCACGAGCGTTTGAACCGGCCGGAACCGGCTAAACTTCGCAGTACGTAATCCAAGGGAAAAGTGTAAACTCACAAAATCGTCACGTAACGGCACGAAGACGACAAGTTTTTTTTGTTGGCCATTCACTGACCTCACATTTTCAAAAGTCGTGACCTCCTCGCAAAGTCAGACGGACGTCATCGCGAAGGAAAACGTTTTCCCCTCGGGAACACTACTACTTGGGCGTGGTCCGTCCGAGCCCCGCGGAGAGCCGCGCGGTGCGGTGCGGTGCGGTGCGGAGGGTGATGCGTTTGCGCCGGCCGGCACCGGCTGCACCGCGCAGCGCACCGGCCCCGCGGCACACAGAGCTGTTGGCCGCGAGAGGCGCCGTTGCGCCGCTGCCGCCTTACATAACGCAATATCGCTGATGTGTTTATGGCTAATGAAGGAAACAGCTGAGTCAAGTTTTCCCTTACCTTGTCAGTTTTCATAAGAGATAGCTATCACTACTCGATCTCGTGTAGAGCTGCGCGTATGCTCTCTGGCAGCGCACAGCCCGGTGGCCGAGGCCCAGCCAGCAGACGCCAGCTGTTGTAGTATTTCTATACATCTACATTCGCGGGAAGTTATGGATGTAGTACTGCTGTTGCTTGTTTTCCTCGCTTTCCGTCGCTCTTGCTGGCGTGTGCGATGATTACAAAGTCGCCCGTCCCCGTCGGTGATCTGCACATGATAGGGTGCACCGCACAGCTCCGGCTGGCTGCCCGTGCGTCGAGGACGAGCCGGGCCGGGTCCGCCGGGACCCGGTGCGAGAGAGAACTCTAGCCCCTGCGGAGCTCGGGGTAGGCACGCCCGCGCCACACCGGAGCGCGTCGGTCCAGAGATTGCCTGCCCTGCAGGGGCCCTGTCGGGGCGCCCAAGTGAGCGCCAAGGCGGGCGGCGCAGCCGCGGCGGCGGGGGTGTCGGAGTGACGTCCGTAGCCAAGAGGGGGGTGGGGGAGGGGGGAGAGATAAACAGAGAGAGACAGAGACAGAGACAGACAGACAGACAGACGGGCAGACAGACACAGACAGACAGACAGACAGACAGAAGAGGGGGCGGGCGGGATCTCCCCTATCATCTTCCTCTCGCAGCATGCGACTCATGCGACAGGTGGGCGGTCTGGTCAGTCAGTAGTGTGTATTGGCGTTGGAGAGAAAGACACACACACACACACACACACACACACACACACACACACACACACAGCTCCAGTCACTACTTTCCATTCTCTTCCTTTGGCTGGCGGCCATAACGGAGCGCGCGCGGCTGCGCCCGGCTCCTCGGCGTTATTCATAGTCCAGATGAGATGGATCGGGCGGCGCAATCACGGCCGTGATGAATTGGCACCGGACTCGTTAACGATATTTGTAACGACTGTCTGCCTGGCGGGCCGGGCCGCGGAGGAATCGCTCGGGAACTAGTACCGGTGGGGAAGGGTGCTCTTGGAGGCTGGAGCAGCGAACGTAAACGTTCACCCGTGTGGCCTGGTCCCGGGTGAAAGGCTAATGATATTGACGCGAAACGAGAATTATTTAACAGGTCCAGTGAAGATATTTTTTTATTTTTTTTTAGTTTTGCAATCTATTGACACTTTGTAGTCGTGATGGGGGCGTGGGCGCAGATGCTGTGCTCGGGTCACCACCGGAGTGGCGGGGCGGCGGGGGGCGCGGCACTGGAGCGCTGGACTGGCGCCAGGGGCGGCGGCGCCACGCCGCAGTACGTGCCGCCTGGACCGGCGCCCACGCAGCGTCGCGACGCCGGAGAACGCTCATGCCATGCGCGTCCGCTGGAGCAGCGGCGCGGCGGCGGCGAAGGGCCAGCTCGGAATTCCGCAAAGGCAATAAATTTGTCCTTGGTGGATGTCGACTGGGTCCCCATCCCTCGCGCACTGCGTATTCTTATTTCGGGTTTGAACTGGACCCGTGCCTGGCTCAATGATCCGCGTTTCGGCTTGAATGGATGCGCCGTCGCCAAGGGAGTCAGCTGAAGGTCTGTCCTCGGCGCCCGGTACGCAGGCAACCCAATCGGCGCGACGGGGGAATGGGTTGCCAACGCCGTGGGCGGTCGTGGTGCACGGAACGCCACTGTACCGGTAATCGATCCAATCAGCACGGTAATGTTACGATGAACATTATTTCCACTGATCTCGTGCGATCTATTTTAACATCATATTGCCGCGATAAATCAGAACAGAGCGCTCTGATGACAAGCTCTCAGGTGTGTCGACACGCTAACCTAACATGCAGTCTTTTCATAATTTCCGATATTTATCAACAATAATGGCATTGATGTTATCGTGTCGATAGGTACTGATTGCAACATGCGAATAATTGGCATGGGGCCCAAAGTGTTGCGACGTATCGCGACGGGGAAAAGCGCGATTCGCAACTATCCTTCATCGGAGCCGGCGCGAACGCGCCTCGTGCGCCCCTGCATTGGATTTCGTCTGCTGCGAGCGGTGTCGGTGTAGGTGTCGGCGGGTTGGTATCATTGATCCAAATACTGTCGTCAGAAACATGGCGGACACCGAGGTAGGGTGGCGAATTTGTCACGTGGAAATTTATGCCCCTAATTTCTAGAAAGTGCGTTTTACAAGTTTTGAATGAATCTCAATTTTTCTTTCAGCTTGCGAAAAGTTTGAAGGATTTGCCCTTGCGGGTCCAAAGTGCAAGTACTAAAGAACGGCAACAAGTGATCAAACATGTTATCTCAATTTTGTCAAAACCAGGTAATTTTCAGTATATTGGCCTCATATCATCGAAAAAATCACATATCCGTTTTGTTTCAATATTCTTAAACAACTTCTTAAAACTGCGTACAAGCAAAGTCCTTATATCTCGCCTAAATCTGATTTTTTGCCAAGCACCGGACAGTTCCACTCAGTTTATTGTTTTATGCGAATTATGAGCTTCTCGGCGCCGGACGTCCGGTATTAACAATCAGAGTATTTTTTTACACAGAACAACTATCATTTCAGCATCTCAATCCTTATTTCCTGTTCTGAATATTACATCTTGTCTCATAACCTCACTTACTGAAAATAATGTTTTTGTCAGTCCAAAATTTGTTCCATTGACTCCATTGATTGTAAAAATTGATGTTGTCTTTTGATTAATTGATGTTCTTTTTATTTTTTAATTTATTTTTCGCGCTGGGTAAGCGCCATTTTTTTTTTGTATGTCACCGTGGATGTTATTTTTGCCCACAGGCATTACAGAACCGATTGTTCGGGGATTGTGCCGATTGGTGTCCATTACTTTACCTCGGTACACTGACAGCTCCTCAAAAGCAGCTGTCTGCCAGCTTGTATCGAGTCTCCTGACCCTCCACAAAGAATGGGCAGTGAAGCATCTGATTGCAACCCTTTCTGAAGTAGCCAATACATATAAAACCTTGGTTCCAACGTAAGAATAGCCTTTTCCCTTATCACTTTCCCCTCTAATTATCATTCAAGTTTTCCGTATTAATTTTTATTGATCATTTAACAGGCACAGCACATCTCAAATCGCCCTGCAGGCCTTCAATTGGTCCTGCATGATTGTTGAACTTGGTTTAAAAGATGCCTCAGATGACTGTAAGTCTGAATTTCCTGCTTTGTTTGAAGCGCAGGCCATTTTGCTTTGTGCTGCTGTATCATCTAATATAAAGAAAATCACATACAAAGTACAACGATTGACTTATAAAATGTGGCGTTCAAATGAGTCTGTGGTTGACTTGTATATCTCAACCCTCCAAAATTTGAAAGATTCTTCACAATTCTCTGTTGTTCTTGGATCATATCTCATTCAACACCTTGTAGATGACAAGAAGATTGAATTGGTCAACAAGTTCAAAGTTAGTCCTAAATGGTTTTGCATCTATATTTAGCTTGTTCATGTGTGATTTTGATTTTACTAATTATGAACCCTTTTCTATTTTCTACACTCTAGGCAGCGCTCTTGGATTTGTTTATTAAAATTGCAGTCAGTGTGAAAGTAAAACCAGCAGTATATGTTGTTGATGAGGCTAGACCTTTGTTGCGTCAGTTAACCCATGAAGAATTTAAGGGGCAGTTGCTACCTGCTTTGCAGAAGGCAATGCTTAGAAGTCCAGAAGTAATTTTAGAATGTGTGGGACATGTCATCTCTGCTGTTTCCCTGGATCTTAGCCAATATGCTGCAGATATTGGAAAGAGTCTAGCAGGTAATATCATAAGAGGAGTACGTGTTATTTGGTTCTAAGCATTGACCATCCAGCTAACAAGATTTATTTTCCTACAACACAGCCAATCTACATTCTAAAGAAGATTTAGCCCGATTAGAATCTGCTGATGCTTGTAAGCGACTTGCACAACAGTGCAGTGATGGATCTGCCATTGAGCAGCTGCTCAATCAGATATTTGCTGTGTTTCATGGCTCAGAAGGAAAGATAACTGTAGCAGAACAGAAAATAAGTGTTCTTCAAGGAGCTGGTAATCTTAGTTACAATACTGTTGCTGGGAGCAGTGTACAAAGGTTAGCTACACTTGCTGCAGAACAATTTATCAAGGTGCTAGGTGTAGAAGGTAAGGTTTTGCTTATTCAAAATTCCTAAATCCATAGGATGCTGTACCCAATCTGTGGTTTATTGTCAATATTTGTTTTTTTTTGTCTTTCCAGTTCATGAGAAGACATTAGTGTATGCTTTAGAAATGATGTCACTGTGGTGTACCAAGTTTACCAGTGAAGTGCCAGTATCTGTGATTGATGGGTTGAAGGTAATGGTTTGGAGTCAGTCTGAAGTTAATTAATTACCCCCCACAATTTTGTATTGTTGTCTGTTGTAAAGGTTATTTTATTCATCTCCCACTGTTTTTGTTCTATTGCTCACAGAAAGGCTTGGCTTCAAAGAATTCAACTGCCCTTGTGCGGTCTGCATACATTCAATGCCTATCATCTTGCTTTACAAGCAGTACTGCTCATCTTGGGGCAGATGTTGTACCTGTGCTTCTTAAGACCATTGAGAAAGGTGCTGCTCAAGCAATCCAAGTTCCAGTTGTTACTGAAGCTTTGGCTGCTGCTTGCCTGCTTCTCAAGTTGTGCATCAGTGAAGGCACTGTCTCTGAAACACAGCTTTCATCAGTCTTACCTGCAATCATTGATGCAGAAAAGCAACTTTTTGTGTCGGAAAAGTTTTTGACTGTTGCTTCTGATGAAGCACTAAATAATGTTATGACACTGAGTGAGCATCTGCTTGTAAACCATGTGGAAAGACTAGAGGGGCGCTGTCAACCATTCCATCATGCCATTGTATTCTGCTTAACTTGTGGAAGCCCTAGTGTGAAAGCACACTCCAGAGCTGTTGTGAAGAAAATGGTGTCTTCCCTTGGTGGAATAGAAATAACCAGAGCCTTATTAAAGGAGCTCACTCAATACTTAGAGACAGTTAAAATACAGGTTGGTATGAACACTTGTACAAGTTGATGCCACCATTTCAAAGTTTAATGAAAGTTTTAATCTTGTTTTTGTAATATGATTTATTATAATCAATAGCACAACGATGGAGATTCGAAAGAAAATAAGGAAAATAATGATGTTAGCTCAGGTCCTGGAGGTGGACCAGAAGTATCTGCCCAATCCCTGGTTGGCTGCATCACAACACTCTGCTCAGCCAATGGGCTATTGCCGGAGGATGCCTATTTTGTTGCTCAAGATTCGCTAATTCCATGCAATCATCCAGCTGTTGGTAAGTGTGACTTGTATAATGTTTTCTGATTATTCTTTTATTTGTATCCCTAAATCCAATCTTTTTCCTTTGTAGCTGTTGTGGCACCAGATTTGTGGCTGAAAATTGTGCGCCACTTAAAGTTAGATCCTGCCACTTTGTTAGCTCGCTTATCCCAAAATATTCGTACTTCTCTCGTCGACAATTACAAGCCAACTCCAGTATGTAATCTGTTTCATTCATTACCTATTTTTGCTTATTTCTATCTTTCAATTCTATTCTATACTATTGATGCTTTCTACAATTGGAATTAATTACATAATTTCATCATTATTTTTTAGATAATGGAGAGTACACTGGCTCTAGTTGTGAGAATAAGTCCTAATGTAATTTTGCCTCACTTGTTAGCAAGAGTAAACGATATTTTGAATGACCAGTCATTATTACACATCACAAAAGATGAATATTTCATATATCAAACACCAGAGGGTGTTCTTTATGACAAAAGTTGTATTGGGTCAGTATGTCACTTAAATTTCATCCATAATTATCATTTATAAATTCCATTTGTACTACATTAAGTGTGTATTTACTCTAATGAATACTCAAACCAAATTCTTGTATTCAGGAAAAATAATGATGATTCATTAAATGCCAAAAATCTGAAGAGAGAAAGTAAGGTATATTCTTACAAAGATCAATTAGAGGAAATGGCTCTTCGCCGCGAGCTTGAAGAAAAGAAGAGGCGAGAAGGAAAACTGAAAGAACCTGAACTCAATCCAAAACAAAAAGAGGCAATGAAAATACAACTGGAGAAAGAGAGTGCTGTTCGTTCCCGCCTCACTTTGGTACGTCTCACCTCACATCTATAAAGACTACTCTTGTGCTGTCATTGGTTTACCAATATCTAGTGCTGTTTTTCTAATGAAATTATTATTACAGTTGAAAAATAGGTTGGATAACAGCCTGTCAATGCTGCGAGCTGCTCTAGAAGGAAATCCAACTCACATGTCCCGTTACTTCCGTGATCTTCTCCCAAACATTCTAAATGATCTGCAATCACCACTCGCTGCACCTGAATTGGCACCATTTTATATTCAATTACAGAATGGCGTATTTTCTTCTTCTCAGCGAAATTTGGGTAAATCAATACTACCTATTGCATTAAGATAAATGTTTCATTCTATTTTTGTGTTGACACCTTCTTTCTCTATTTATTCACAGCTGACTTGATTGGCCATGTTACTTTGCGCCTTCATAAACCAAAGTGTGATTTAAATCCAGCATGGGAAGAAGAGAAACTTGATTCTGCTGTTTCTAGAGCAATCACCCTAATGCACAAGACTACAGTTCGGCCCCGTAATGAAGTTATTGAAGATGCTCAAGAAAAGAAAAGAATCCTCTCTGCTCCAGCATTTTGCTACTGCTTTAATTTTATCCGAAAAGCATTGGTGTACCAATCTATTCAGAAAGATGAGGGATTAATGACAAAGGGGATCCAAATAGTTTCTGCACATGCGCAGATGAAGGGAGGAGTGGTGGAGCCCAAAGATGGCATTGATTTATACCATCCAGATCTTCTTCCAAGACGTTTAATGTTTGAGTTGTTGATTGGAATTATCAGTAAGTGGTTGATTTATTTTATATCAAATGTCTTGAAAGAGAAGATTGTTTTTCTTCCAGGAACTCGTGTAGATTTAATACTTACTTAATCAGTTTTCTTTCTTAAATTTTACAATAGGTGTATCTACTGGAAGGCTGCAGCAACTTGCCAGTGCTGCTCTGATGGATGTAGCTGCTTCTGGTTCTGGCAAAGAAGGTTACGCAAGAGCAACCGAGGATGAAATTGATAGTTTATTGTCAGCTCTTCAAAATCAGGACACTACAGTTCGTGATGCTGCTCTTCGAGTAAGATTTCTTGTGTTTCGAAATTGATTTTATCTTGATTTCTAGTCTCGTCAGCAGCCTTTTTATATTTTGCCCATTTTTATTTGCAGGGCTTAGCGGCCATGGTTGGAGCTTTCCCCACTTTAAAGACCAATCCAGAACAGGCAGTCAGATTGACAAGAAGAATTTGGGTTGCCCGATTTGATGTTGTTGATGAAAACAAGTATGTACAATCCTGATAACATTTTTTAAGAAGACAATTTTATGTCCTATTACTGCAAAATGATTGTATTTTATAAATCTGATGATGGGATTTAAAATTATTTGCAGAGAATTGGCTTCAAAATTGTGGACTGCGGCTGGTCTTAAGCTTGACGAAATGCTGTGGATGGGACTTTTATTAGATGTTGTTCATCCTGTTGATGTAGTTCAAACAGCAGCAGCCAAAGCATTGGCTGCTTTACTTGAAGAATATGATAGTCCTATTCCAAAAGTAATTGAAAATCTTCTTGGAATTTATAAAGAGAAATTAACTGTGAGTATTACACTATCTGAATGATTTTGCTCATAGTATCAAAAGAGAAAACAATACAAAATTTTCTTTGGATAACACAATTGCATCTTGTTTCCTGTAGATGATCCCAGCTAAAGTTGACAGTTTTGGGCGCATTGAAGAAGAAGCCATTGATGTTTGGGAACCCCGTCGAGGTGTTGGCCTTGCCCTGAAAGAGTTAGCACCGTTACTCTCACACAGCCAAGTATCCAGCTTGGCTCAATTTTATGTGTCAAGTGGCCTTGGGGACCACAGTGAAGAAGTTAGGAAAAACATGCTAAGTGCTGCTCTTGCATCTGTAGATTTACATGGCAAGGACACCATAAATAGCTTACTACCAGTATTTGAAAATTTCCTCGATAAGGCCCCAGATTCTCGTAAATTTGATGCTGTTCGCCAATCTGTTGTTATTCTCATGGGATCTCTTGCACGGCATTTAGATAGGGATGATCCAAAGGTTGGTATTTCATACTTCTTATGCTAGTACCTAGGAATGTGAGAGTTATTTTTGCACTTGGGTTTTGAATTAAAATTATTTTTTCAGGTAAAACCTATCGTAGCGCGGCTAGTGGATGCCCTCTCAACACCTTCCCAGCAAGTTCAAGAAGCTGTGGCCAATTGCTTGCCTCATCTAGTGCCAGCTGTAAAAGATGATGCACCTACTCTTATTAAGAAGTTAATGGACCAATTACTTGAGTCTAGTGTGTATGGTGAAAGAAGAGGGGCTGCATATGGTCTGGCAGGAATCATCAAGGGAATGGGAATTTTGGCTCTGAAGCAGTATGATGTGATGACAAAGTTAACAGAGGCAATTCAAGATAAAAAAAATTATCGACACAGAGAAGGTTAGATAACTACACAGTTTTAATTTCTGCTGTTGTGCATCTATATTTTAGTATGGTCTAGAATGAACATTTTTTATCATTTGGCAGGTGCTCTACTTGCATTTGAAATGTTGTGCAATATGTTGGGTCGTCTGTTTGAACCATACATTGTACATGTGTTGCCCCACCTTTTATTATGTTTTGGTGATGGAAATCAGTATGTACGTGATGCCACCGACGAAACTGCTCGAATTGTCATGAGCAAACTGTCAGCTCATGGTGTAAAACTGGTTCTACCATCCCTCCTGTCAGCTTTAGAGGAGGACTCGTGGCGAACCAAAACTGGCTCAGTTGAACTGTTAGGAGCCATGGCTTACTGTGCACCCAAGCAACTTTCTTCTTGTCTTCCCAGTATTGTACCAAAGCTTATTGAAGTGTTGAGTGACTCGCATACTAAAGTGCAAGGCGCAGGTGCTCAGGCCTTGAGACTTATTGGGTCAGTTATTAGAAACCCAGAAATTCAGGGTAGGTTTTACCCCAGTAAAAATTGGCATTATTTATTTACTTATTGAGTCTAGCAAGTAGAGTTTTTGTGAAAGCACTTGTCAGTAATTTTACTCTCTTTTAACCTGCAGCTATTGTCCCTGTTCTCTTGGAGGCTCTTCAGGATCCCTCCCACCGCACCGCTACGTGTCTCCAAACACTTTTGGAGACACAATTTGTTCATTTCATTGATGCTCCATCTTTGGCGCTAATTATGCCTGTGGTGCAACGAGCATTTATGGACCGAGCAACAGAAACTAGGAAAATGGCTGCCCAGATTATAGGCAATATGTATTCTCTCACAGATCAAAAGGACCTGATGCCTTATCTTCCTACTATTGTACCAGGCTTAAAGTCTTCCTTGTTAGATCCAGTTCCTGAGGTATATGTCCTGATTAAGTCCTTGTTTTAGTCTTTGTGGTATTTTGTGTTCTTTTTAAAGCAATTACAATTTTGTTTGTAGGTTCGAAGTGTCTCAGCAAGAGCTCTTGGTGCTATGGTACGTGGCATGGGAGAGCAGACATTTGAAGATCTATTACCATGGTTGATGACAACTCTAACATCAGAGTCAAGCTCAGTCGACCGGTCTGGTGCTGCCCAAGGTCTCAGTGAAGTTGTTAGTGGTTTGGGTGTTGAGAAAATGCACAAATTGATGCCTGAAATTATTGCTACTGCGGAGCGACCTGACATTGCACCCCACGTGAAGGATGGTTACATTATGATGTTCATTTACATGCCTGGAGCTTTCCATGAAGATTTCACACCCTACATTCCACAGATTATTAACCCGATTCTTAAGGTAAATTTTTATTAATAAAACTAGCCCGTGAATTTTTATCTTCAAGCAGCCTAACATTTTGCTTATTACAGGCCTTAGCTGATGAAAATGAATATGTGCGTGAGACTGCTTTAAAGGCTGGACAGCGCATTGTAAATTTGTATGCTGAATCTGCAATCATGCTGCTCTTACCAGAGCTGGAAAAGGGTCTATTTGATGACAACTGGCGTATCAGATATTCATCTGTCCAACTCCTGGGAGACTTGCTTTACCGCATTTCGGGAGTGTCTGGCAAAATGTCAACTGAGACTGCAGATGAAGATGATAATTTTGGAACAGAACAGTCTCACAGGGCTATTATTGATGTACTTGGAGCCACCCGTCGTAATAGAGTTTTGGCTGGACTGTACATGGGCCGATCTGATGTTGCGCTGATGGTCAGGCAGGCTGCCCTCCATGTTTGGAAGGTGGTGGTCACAAACACACCTCGTACCCTCCGAGAAATCTTGCCAACCCTGTTCAGCCTCCTATTGGGATGCCTGGCTTCAACTAGTTATGACAAGAGGCAGGTTGCAGCTCGCACCCTGGGTGATTTAGTGCGGAAGCTTGGTGAGCGTGTTCTTCCAGAAATAATCCCTATTCTGGAGAGAGGTCTTGAATCCGATCAGGCAGATCAAAGGCAGGGTGTGTGTATTGGTCTTTCTGAGATTATGGCTTCTACTAGCAGAGATATGGTGCTCACATTTGTGAACAGTTTGGTACCTACTGTCAGGTTGGTGTCTCTATTATGTAACTTTGTAAAATTTGAAAGTTTATCAAGAACATTTGAAATTTGTTCCTGCCTTTTTTATTGTAGGAAAGCCATGTGTGATCCACTCCCTGAAGTTAGAGAGGCTGCAGCCAAGACATTTGATAGTCTCCACTCAACTGTTGGTGTGAGAGCTTTGGATGATATTCTTCCCTCAATGCTTAACCAGCTGGTGGGTATTTCACATCAGTATGAAAGAAACCTTACATACTCCACGGTCCTTTTTGTAAAATATATATAACACTGTTTTCCTCATTTTTTCAGAGTGATCCTGATCCACATGTAGTGGAATGTACCCTGGATGGTTTGAGACAAGTTATGGCCATTAAGTCACGTGTGGTGCTACCCTATTTAGTACCCCAACTTACGGCCCATCCAGTCAACACCAAGGCTTTATCCATATTGGCCAGTGTTGCTGGAGAGGCATTGACTCGCTACCTCAGCAAGATCCTTCCTGCTTTATTGACTGCTCTCTCTTCTGCTCAAGGAACTCCTCAAGAAGCTCAGGTATTACAAACTTGCAAGAAAACTGTTACTCAGCAGTGTGCCTCTTGCACCATAAAGTGAATGGCAACAACCTTTACATTTTCTAGGAAATGGAATATTGCCAAGCTGTGGTTCTATCAGTTAGTGATGAAGTTGGTGTCAGAACAATAGTTGATTCATTACTGGAGTCCTCGCGTTCAGAAAAGGCTGATTTGCGAAGGTCTGCTACAGCCTTACTTTGTGCTTTCTGTGGTCAAACAAGAGCCAACTACACCCAACATGTACCCCAGTTGCTTCGTGGTATCATTCATCTTTATGCTGACTCAGATCATGGTGTTTTAGTAATGAGCTGTGAGGCACTTGCAGCTGTTTTCAAGGTATTTTCCATTTTTGAGAATGTGCTACACTCTTACCTCAAATTTGATCTTAACACAGATTTTCTTCTCCCATGTTTCTTTAGACATTGGAAGTCACAGCCTCCACTGCTTATGTAGGTGACATCAAGCAAGCTATTCGATTTGCTGCTGGTGATCTCAAAGGTCAGCAGCATATGCCTGGTTTCTGTCTCCCCAAGGTGAGGTTTCCAAAGTTCCTTAAAACTACAATGCTTAAAACTACACTGCTTAAAACTACAATGTTCTCTGTTAATGTTTTCTTTCTTTGTTGTTTTGCTACATTTATGTCAATTGTTAATAATAATAATAATACTTATTATATTTTTAAATTAGGGAATCACACCTATGCTGCCCATGTTCAGAGAAGCAGTTCTGAATGGACCACCAGAAATAAAGGAGGTTGCTGCATATTGCATAGGTGACATGATAAAACTTATCACTAATGAGGCTCTTGCGCCATCTGTGGTACACATCACTGGTCCATTGATTCGTATTCTTGGTGATCGATTCAACTGGCCTGTAAAGGCAGCTGTACTGGACACACTGTCCCTTCTTTTGTCTAAGGTAAATTTTTTGCGAAGCGATTCAAAGTTCTCCCTGTGTGCATCATTGAGTTTTATATTAATTGTCAAAACTCTCTCTCTGCTAGGTTGGTGCTATGTTGAAGCAATTCTTGCCTCAACTTCAAACCACTTTTGTGAAAGCCCTTAATGATGGTAACCGCATTGTTAGAGTAAAAGCAGCTGTTGCAACTGGGCATTTGATTAAAATTCACACACGACCTGATCCCATTTACACTGAACTGCACAATAGCATTAAAAATCTTGAAGATCCTTCAGTCAGGTAGTACTATATTTGTTGCCCATGGTGGCAATTTCTTTGAAATTTAAATTTTCTATGAATACAGTATTATCTCACTGTGTTATGTTTCTTTTATTGCAGGGAAACAATGCTTCAAGCATTGAGGTATATGATAACTGCTGCTGGTGATAAAATGTCTGAAGCAATCCGTCGAGGTATCAACCAAACCCTTATTGGAATGCTAAGTCATCATGAGGATGCATCGAGATGTGCTGCTGCTGGTTGCCTAGGCGCATTGTGCCGCTGGTTGTCTCCTGAGCAACTGACTATTGTTTTATCTGATAACCTACTCGGTAAGTTTGTTTTATTTTAAATTTTATCTCGTCCTTTATGTGTTATGATTAGCTTCAAATGTTTTACTGTGGTGAAGTGCAAACTGAGATTTTATTTTTAATGCTGCTTGGATCAGTTGAGGAAACTCGTTTAAAGGGTAGAGGTTTTAAACCTCCACCCCAAGGTGAGATGGGTGTTTTAAAAATTGTGTAGGATTGTTTGGAAGAGTAGTTCTGTTGAATACAGTATCTGTATCTTTTATCTATTTTAAAATTAGGTTTTGTAGTGTATGCAAAATCATGATTCATGTATAACTTATACCCTGGATGTCACATTTTTTTTAGTGGATGATAACTCCTTGGATTGGATGCTTAGACATGGCAGAAGTGCAGCCCTTTTTGTGGCATTGAAAGAATGTCCAGATGTTGTCTACACTGACAATTACTGTGATAAACTACACAGGGTCATTTTATCATATTTGGTGGCTGACCGGGTGAGTAGTGTCAAGTAATCATTCGACCTACTTGAGTACTGTTGTATAAATTTTCTTTAATTTCATGTTAAAATTGTTACACAGGTACAAATTGCTCAAAATGGAATCAGGTGTTGTGGATATTTGTTTGATCATCTTATGTCAAATGGAAAAACATTGCCTTCAGCACTCATTTCACCATTTGTCAGAGTAAGTCGTATACAACAATTA